GGGGGGCATAGATCATAGGGCTGGAAGGGACCCCAAATGATCATCAGGTCCAGCCCCCTGCATGAGCAGGAAAGACATCTGGAGTCATGACCCTAGCCAGGTGACCATCCAGTCTTCTCTTGAAGACCTCTAGGGTCGATGATTGCACCACCTCTTCGGGGAGCTTGTTCCATAGTTTGGACACCCTGGTTGTAAAGAAGTTTTTCCTAATGTTCAGCCTGAAACTATCTTCCAGGAGTTTGTGGCCATTCTTTCTAGTTTTCCCTCAGGGCACCCTGGTGAACAGTTATTCACCGAGCTCATGCTTTATGCCTCTGATATAGTGGTAAGCCACAATTAGGTCCCCTCTCAGCCGCCTTTTCTTTAGGCTGAAGAGTCCAAGATCCCTCAGCCTCTCCTCGTATGGCTTGCCATGCAAGTCCCTGATCATACATGTGGCCCTTCTCTAGACCCTCCTGAGTTTTAGCACCTCCTTGTTGAAGTGTGGCACCCAGAACTGGACACAATACTTCAGCTGCACCAATGTTGAGTAAACTGAGAGAATCACTTCTTTGGATTTACTGGAGATGCACCGATTGATGCATGCCAGAGTTTTATTGGCCCTAGCTGTGACTGCGTTGCATTGCTGGCTCATATTCATGCTGGGGTCTATTATTACCCCCAGATTCCTTTCATTTGTAGTGCTGGTTAGGTTAGCGATGCCCAGCCTGTAGGTCTGCTGTGTTTCTTCCTTCCTAGACGCAGCACTTTGCATTTCTCTATGTTGAGCCTCATCTGGTTCCATTCTGCCCAACATGCCAGCCTGCCTAGGTTTGCTTGTATCTGCAGCCTATCTGCAGGTGTGCCCACACAACCCTATATCTTGGTGTCATCCATGAACTTGGCCAACGTGCTTTTTACCCCCTCATCCAGGTCATTGATGAAGATATTGAACAGCACTGGGCCAAGTACCGACCCTTGGGGTATGTCGCTGCCCGTATCTCACCTGGATGACACCGATCCATTCATTTGGACACTGTGTCCTACCCCACAACCAGTTTTGCACCCACTTGATGGTCCTGCAGTTGAGCCCAATATCTTCCAGTTTTCAGATTAGTACCTCGTGGGATACCAGGTCAGGCTTTCTGGAAGTTGAGGTATATAACTGCTTTTCTCTTGTCCAGGTGACAAGTCACCTGATCATAGAAAGAAATGAGCTTGGTTAGACAAGACCTGCCCGCAATGAAGCCATGCTGGCTGTCATTTGGTATCATGCCTTCTGCAAGTTTGTCACACACAGCCCCTCTGATGAATGTTTCTAGGATTTTCCCTAGAACAGAAGTTAAGCTACTAGGCCTGTAGTTTCCTGGGTCTTCACGCTTCCCCTTTTTGAAGATGGGCACAATATTGGCCCTCTTCCAGTCCTCTGGGATTTCTGCAGAGGCCCATGATTTTTGAAAAACCTTTATCAGGGGCTCTGCAATTACTTCAGCCAACTCCTGCAGCACTCTTGGGTAGAGTTCATCCGGTCCTGCTGATTTTATCTAAGTCTAATTTCTTTAATTGATTGTACACCAGTTCTATGGCAATGGTGGGAACAGTGTCAATCCCACCCTGCTCATTCTGTGCCCTACCTGGCATGTTGTTCCCCTTGGTCTTGTGGAAGACCGAGGCAAAGTAGTCATGTCATAGTTCCATTTTTTCCTGAGTGATAGTGACCAGGTATCCTGAGCCATTGAGCAGCACCCCCACACCCATTAGTTTTCCTTTTATTCCCTATGTAGCTAAAGGAGGACTTCTTGTTGTCCTTGATTCTCTGGATCAAACTCAGTGCTGACTATGTGCTCACAAGCAAGTACTAAATTACTCTGTTCCTGTGTTTGAAAATAATGCATTGGAAAAAAGCTAAATCCAGTGGCTTTATTGGTGTAATTCCTGGTGTGAAGTGCTTTAACCATGTTGGACTTTTAGTATGACTTAAATTTCTCAAAGTAACAAGAGACTGTACTGGAAAGCAATCTTACTAGTGCCTGCTAACACTGCAGACTGAGAGAGATTATTTCTTTTGACATGATTTTCATTGTATGAAATAACATGGACTATAGAAGGTGAACTGACTACACATGTCTTATATTTAGAATTGAGGAAAGTTCTAATGGCAAGTACAAGCTTCCAATTTTTTCTGCTAAAGTAATAGTTACACTTTTCAGGAGTTAGTTAATTTGTAGATGTTAGTACTGATTGTGTTTAATGAGTGTTTTTTAAGCTCCTATATATTGTGGTGTAGTGAAAGTTTACATTATTATCCTTTCTGTGAATTATTGTTATTTTCCTCCTGATTTACCAGAATTTTGCTAAAACTGTAAAGAAATTATTGGCTTAGTTGAGAGGGAAATCCTCCAGACCATTGTTTAAAACTGTATCTAGTTTAAAGTATTCATCCCTTGTGGGTCTCCTGCAATTATAAAGTCACATATGCCTGGTCTGCTTGATGAGAGGAGTGAAAATCATTTCGTTTGTTCACATACCTAGAATGCCAAGACAGTCATAGCTTTAATTGACCAGTAATACAGTTGAAAACATTTGGTCTGTTAGAGCCCCTTATGTATTGTAATCATGAGTTCAGCAGTGCCTTTTACTTTTCCCTTTTCATAATCTTGGAATAATTGTTCATATCAGATAAATTTGCTGCTGCCACCTCTTCACTTGGCCTTACTGAATTAAATCCACAAAGGGCCCTGGGCCATGCACTGTGAAACTTGTAAGTGTGCCGTTTGCTAGTAGAATTCAATGGCTTAGGAGCTTCTTACACTGCATGGGAGAATTACAAGACAAGAATGGGAGTTACAAAAGCTGGGCAGTTGAATGGGAGCTACATAAACTAACTGATAGAAACATGAGGGGGCTGACTTACATTTTCTCTGTTCAAGATTCTCTCCAAGAAATCTCTCCTGGACTTAAGTGCCTATGTCAGGTCATGTCTACTGTGGTAACAAATAAGAAAGATCTACTCCAATATCCTGAATCACCCAGTGGTAGGTACTTGTGCGGAAGGCAAGAGAACAGTTTTCAAATCCATATTCTGCCTAATTTGACTTAGGGACTTTATTCAGGTTTCCTCCTTTGCTTGTTATTTCCCCTGCTTTCTCCCTCTATGCTTATCTTAATTGCTTCATGCAAAGTGAAATTATTTTAGTATGAGAAACAGAATCCTAAAACTTTGTCTTGAGAACAGACTTATGGAAGTTGGGATTCCCTAGGCAGAAGAGGGTCTTGAACTCAAGTTCCCCATATCCTAGGTGAGCTCACTATTTGCATAAAGGAAAAAAAATGGTATGCCTGTATTTTGAAATTAAGAAAATGCCTAAACTTGCGGGTCAGGGATTTAATGTATGCTCCCATCCTTGGTGTTTCCCGGTTGGCTAGTTGAGGCAGTTCTTTCACTGCTTTGAATCCCTTTCTGCAGCATTCAGCTATCCCTAATACACTACAGAGACACAGGGAAAATGGCATCTTGGGCAAACTTGTATTTAGCTCCCCTGCACCTCAGTGGTGCTGTTGTAGGCAGAGGCAGGTGGGCAGGGATGCAGAACTGGAACAAGTGCCACCCTGCCCACACTACCCAGCTCAGTTCCTCCTGAGCTTCCAAGCCATGGGCAGATGGCACTGCCTCTGTCCTGTACTGGCCCCCCGGTGGGCTGCACCCAGGGGACTAATATGGTGGGGCATGGATGCATCCTGCTGTGACCTGAGCCTGGGCTGGGGCTGATCCCGCTTGGGCAGGGAGATGATGTGGCAGGGATCAGAGTCGAGCAGGGTGATTACCTGCTTCATGCTCTTCAGGATGTGAGCTAGGCCAGGGTGGGTGCATGGAGTGTAGCCAGGGCTGGAAAGGGAAAGTTTGTGCAAGGGAGGAGTGGAAAGTTGAAAGTCAATCAAGAAGCAGTGGGGCTGGCCTGGTCTGCCCCCCTCTCTCTGCCTGCCTCTCCCTGTGCCATGCCATGCTGTGCTGCACTGGGATCTCAGGGCAATGGGGTAAGGGTTCTGCCCTGCATAGCTGAGCTGGGGGTGTATGAGGGGACCCCATGGGAGCAGGGGGTGGTGGTGGCCAGGTGCAGCCAGCCCTGCTGAGCTGGGCTGGGCACTGCTTTGCCTGCTTGGAGCGGGATAGCAGGGTATTTGGCACTGCGCTGGCCACAGCACCCTGCGTGGTCACTCTCATCACCTACCCCTAAGGCCAGTTTTGCAGAGAGAGACAAGGTATTTAACTCAGGTCTGAGTATTTTGCCATGGAATCAGGAGCCTGATACTTATGCTACAGGGGTCACAATTACAGACCTTAAAACCTTTTGTGTTTTTACCTGTTTGTCACTTAAGTCTTCATGCAGCCTAAGGGTATTAGAAACCTAGCTATAGGAGGATAAGGATCATTCATTTTCAGGTGTAGGCATTCTGAAGACAAAAGGCCTTGGGTTCTTATGCTGAGATTTTTCCAATAGCCCAAGTGATGAGGTGCCCAAATCTCACTAAAATTAATGGGGCTTATGTCCAGTTCCTTTGAAAGTCCAAGACTTACATTCTGGAAGTGCTAGATCCACAAAAGGTTTTCAGTTCTGTAATACTCTGGTATCTTGTTTTATGCACTTGTCACCTATAGTCCTGAGTTAGGCTTCTCACTGCCAAGGTCCCTTCTGAAAATCAATTTTAGCTCATAAGTCATTTAGGCCCTTTTTTTTTTAGAATTTTTCCCTTAGTCTCTTTGTACCTCAGCTTACTACCTTTGTAGTGTAGCTGCAACAATACATACTTCTCAGAGGTCTTATGAAAATGGGCTAATGGCTGTAAGCATTTTAGGATGCTTAGACTATTTTAAAAGTTAAATTGAATATAAAGAACAGCCTTCATATTTTAAAATTTATTGGGGAACAAAGGTTTTCCAGTTAAAAAAAAAAAAAAAAACAAAAAAAACCCACTGGCTGAAATTTCACTTGGTTTAATATTACTGAATTATGATTTTAACTCTCAGCCATTCCTTGTTCTGCATATTTGTAGTAGTTTTTATAGAATTTTTTTAACCACTTTGCATAGGTTTATGACAATTCCAATATTATTTCAGTAGCCTTTTGTCACATACTGATGCAGTTAACATCAGCCTGTAATTTTATTTTTAAAGATTGAATCATGCTGCTCTTTAATCTGGTCCCAGGTCACGAGTCTCTAGTTAAGTGAATTTCTTTATGATCTATAAAACTGCATTTAGAAATGTTTTCTGGGTGTAATCTGAGGGGCTGCATTGTTCTTGGACTTACTCACAACGGGTGTTAGGGGACAAAATACCAGGCTTTTGTCAGAAGTTATTTTCAGCTTGCTGATAGTTATGGCATTGCTCATGTTCCTTACACCCCCGCCCCCCCCCCCCCCCCCCCCCCCCACCCCTGCCCAAACTATTCTCATTCCCCAC